GGCGAAGACTATGATATCAAATCATAATTTATGAACTGAATCCACCCTGGGGTACATGTATCATAGTTAACTTAGTGTTAATTAAGTCCAGTATTTCCCAAAATCTTCAACTATAAAAGGCAAATATTTCTAGAGCTGGGATTGTGAAATTTGTTGCCAAATATTTCTAGAACAAAGTAACAAATATTTCTAGAGCTGGGATTGTGAAATTGGTTGCCATGGAATAGAAGAAAAACACAAGACACATCCTACAGATGTTGAACAACTTCAAATCCAGTGAGTAGCAGAAATTATATTTTTAACTCTTCCATTTAACTTATACTTGAGTTTCCTACCTGTCATGAATATCTAGCTTTCTATTGGCAAATCAATATGTGTTGCAACAGTTATTTCACTTCTATTAAGATTAAAATAGGCACAGTTTTACAGGAAAAAGAGTTTCTAATATACACACTTCTCATTGTATGACTAAGTGGTAATCATTTAGATATTTTATTTAGTTGCTTTTTCCATTTCAACCATTTGAGAAACCAATTTCTGCAGATACAGATTCAATGTCACTTTTCTACAATGTTAATGCAATGTATATGGCAAACATAGCCCTACAGAAGATAGAATACATTATTTCAGAAAGCCATTTCTAGATGATTCTTTAGGACTTAGCTAAATTTTAAGACTATAGCCTCACATTGAACATAATTTTTGTAGTCTGAACAGAAAACTTATTAAGAAACGATGGGTTTATTACAAATAGTGCCACATGTAATATATACTCTAAAAGACCACCGTTTTTTCTAGATTTTCCTCTGCAGAAGTAGCAGAATGGATCTGTACTTGCAATCCCCACACAAACCACTCAGGAAAAATCCTGGAGCTGAGGTGAAAGTAGTTCTCTGGTCCAAGAGCTGAAATAATGTGATGTGAGAAAAGCAGTTCACTCACTGTCTTATCAGTGGGTGCTCCCTACCCTTCTTTCCTAGGACCTTTTTCTACAGCCTGTTGATGAGAACTAGATTTCCAACAGGGCAGAGGAGAATCTGCAAAACAGGCAGGCTGAGACCGCCTGAGGGTTTCTTTTCTTTTTTTCTTTTTTTTTAATGAGATACTTTTAATTTGTTTTTCAGAGATTCCACCCCTGGGCAAATTGAATAACTTCTAAAGATTGGGAATAAACCCAAATTTAGGTAGGTCAGCAATTGTGCTTACTGAGCATGTTGGGACTGCAAGCTAATTGCTCCTACAGTTCTAAAGCCGAGCTGTACAAATATTTAATCCCCAGGGTTTAGTCTAGTGCCAAGCTCACAGTACATGGTTAAGAAACGTTTGCTGAAAGTGTTGAATGAGACGTGGCTTATTCTGTCAATGCCTCACAATATGGAGCCCTGAGACATGAGGCATTGGCTTGTGTTGCACCTAAACCGCATTAACTAAAGTGCCCCTTGGAATAATAAGATCTCCTAATTCTACCTGGCCTGTGACTCAAGTGAACGTAAACCCTTCTCATCCCCAGTTCTTCACCTGACTTTTACCCCCATGTTACTCTCTACTTCCTCTGTCCTACTTCACCCTTCAATTCTTTTCCTTCTTCCTAAATGCTCCCATCATGCCCTATGGAATCCCCATTACAAAGTAAACAGATTCTCCTAACTTTTCAGTCTCTTTCAACAGTGATTCTACCATCTTTTTGCCTTACTGAATGCTGTCTTTTTCCACAAGGTTAATGCTTTCCTTTATCTTCATCCCTCAGTATCATTTGTAGCACGTTTTGGGAAGTTGGGGGTGGCAGTGGAGGGTTAGGGGAAGGTGAACGTGCTAACTTTTTTTTTTTAAGATTTTTTTTTTTAATTGGGGAATTGGGGGATGGAAACAGCACTGGGGAATTGGGGGAAGGGGAACAGACAAGTTGCCGTCCTTTTGTTCTTCAGTCTAGTTGTGGAGGACGTTGCTTCACTGGCCCAAGTTGGCACCATCATTGCGCTCTTCCAGGGCGAGGCAGATCAGTCACCAGCTTCTGGACGGCCGCTCATAGCGGCTGCTGGGCGCTCACGCTGGCTGCTGGCTACACACAGTAGCCCATGGCAACCCACTGCCACAGGGGCTGCAGCCTACGCCTTCGCTGGTGACTTACGGCAGCCCAGCTCCAGGTTGAGCTGTTGTTCACCATCTTAGCTGTAGAGGGCAGTGTCACTGGCCCTCATGTGGGATCCGAACCAGGGCCCTCTGGCATCCCAAGCCAGTTCTTAACCAATGCGCCACTCAGCCGGCCCGCACATGCTAACTTTTTATCATTGCTGGCAAACCATTACTTATCTTTTCTCACTAAAACACATATTATTTGAGGCTCTCTCCATTTGGCTATTCTACTGTCTACCTTCTCCCGTGGCAGTCATTTTGCAGCTCCTGGTCACTCTCATTTGAAATCCGTTCAGTCCTTTTCTGTACTCAGTTCCTGCAGGCACATAATTCTTTAACTGCTTTAATACCAGTGACCATGACTTTATGTAGTTAGGGGTCATTCAGCCTCCAGTAACCCATAACCATGCCCTAAACCCTGTCATCAACAAGAACAACTCCACACTAAAAGTTTAAACTTCATTTTTATACTCTGACCACAAACACCTCCTTTTCTGCATATGCCATTTTCTGATTTTCATTATACCTGTGCTTGGACTTCCTTGGGACCACTAATGCCCTTGTTTTCCCCGATAACTCATCCTCCTCCAGGTATCATCACTTCCCTATCTATTTTAGACCCTCACTATCTATTTAGCATCCTCACTTTAAGCATAACTGGATCCCTTCCTTTTCTTCCATTGTTCTAATAGAAAGTCACAGTTCAGGGTAGGTCAAGCCATCTGCTTTCTGTACTCCTCCCCCACAGTAAGTGTTCTTGGAGAAAAGCACATGACCATGCATTTTATGGTTACCAAGTTCATGAGACGCAGCCCAGTCCAGATCCACCCAGTGCATGTTGAAGTGTCTTTGGGATATACAGGACAAGGCATCTAGTAGGGACTAGATATGCAGATTTCAGAGAAAGGTCTGGGCAGGAGGTAATAGTTTTGGAATTATATTCTCCACTAGATTTACTCCTCCACTGCTTTCCCTTCCCTAGTGAACAGTACCACCTCTACTAGGTCTCCTGCCCATTGTGCATCCCCTGCCTCATGTTGTAAGGAAATATAAATGGCCAATAAGCATCCCGCCCTAAGATGTTCAGCTTCATTAATTATCAGGGAAATCCAGATTAAAGCCCATTGAGATAGTTTATAGCCACTAGGTTGAAAAATATTTTTTAAAAGTCTGAAAATCTCAAGCATTGGAAAGGATCTAGAAAAATGGTCACTCTCATACATGGTTTGTAGGAATGCAGACTAGTACAAATGCCCAGAAAAATTTTTGGCATTTTCCAGTAAATTTGAAATGTGCATGCTCTGTAATATAGCAACTCCATTCTATCATCTATCTATCTATTTATCTATTTATCTATCTGTCATCTATCTATCATCTATCTATGCAGTTGACCCTTGAACAACACAAGTTAGAATTGCATTGGTCATTTATGTGTGAATTTTTTTCAATAAATACTGTAAATCTATTTTCCTTATGAATTTCTTAATAATATTTTCTTAAGCTTTGTTGTAAAAATACAGTATGTAAGAAATGTAACATACAAAATATGTGTTAATTGACTATGTTATTGGTGAGGCTTCTGGTCAACTGTGGGCTATTATTCATTAATTTTTTGGGGAGTCAAAAGTTATAGTCAAGAAAATCAACCAAGAAACAATAGACTTAAATGTCTTTAATTGATATGTTTAGAGCATTTCACCCCAAAGCAGAAGAGTATGCATTGTTTTCAAAGGCACATGCAACATTTTCCAGGATAGATCACATGTTAGGCCATCAAACAAGTATCAATAGATAGAAGAACACTGAAATTGTACCAACCATCTTCTCTGGCATGGAACTAGAAATCAATTACAAGAAGAGAACTGGAAAACACACAAATGCATGGGAGCTAAGGAACATGCTACTAGATGGGTCAACTATGTGATCAAGGAAGAAACAAAAAAAAATACCTTGAGCCAAAAGAGAATGAAACACAATCATCTCAAACTATGGCACACGGTGAAAGCAGTTCTAAGAAGAAAGTTCATAGCAATAGAGGCCTATCTCATGAAACAAGAAAGTTGTCAAATAAACAGTTTAAATTAAAAAAAAAAAGTTATAGTCAAATTTTTTACTGCATGCAAGGGGTGGTTGGCATCCTTAACCCCCATGTTGTTCAAAGGTCAACTGTACATATCCTAGAGAAGTGCCAGGAAACATGGATTAGATATTCATAGCAGCATTGTTTGAAGTAGAAATTTCAATAAATAAACAAACAAACAAACAAACAAATAAATAAATGCAAATCCAGAAGCATACAGTTTAATACCTTTACCACTCATGTTTCTAAAGCTATGGACATATACAGTCTAACTACAAAGACAAACAAGGGAGTGTAAATTAGGGTTTTGGCTCTTTCTGGGTATAGGGGATATTACCTGGGAAGTGTATATGGGCTTCAATTGTTTTAGTGGCTTCTCTGTATTATGACGGGCAGTAGATACATAGGTAAGTATCTGTTTTGTCATTCTTTATATTTTTATTGTTAAATATATATATATATATATTTGGTGACTGTCTGGAAATATCTCATAATGTTAACAAATATAATCACTCTTCTACGTCTGCCAGCTCCTGCCACTATGTCAAAATGGGCTGCTTGAATCACTCAGGAGGGGGTGGTTTTAAGATGTATGTTGTAACAATTGTTACAAAGGTTCTAGGTTTCATTTTCATGGGGATTTAGTCTCTATTGTCTTCTCATCAGCACAAGCTTGGGGGATAAACGCAACTATGGCCATCCAAGAGGACACAGGACTGAAAGGTTCTATCAAGTTGGTTGAAATGAGAACTTGGAAATCTTCATTACAATGAAACATTTTGTAGAGTAGATAGAATTCTCAGTCTAGAAAATGACACCCAATGCCTGTGTGTACTGATTAACTTATGTCCTCCAAGTCTGTAGGCATCATGTATTCACAAACAAGATACTCTTTAGTAATTAGTATAAACTACTTATTTACAGAACTTTGTAATATAAAGACCCCGGCCCGGACCCTAGGCCAGACAGACTCACTTTTAAAAACTCATACTTCAGCTAGACTCTAAGCAGAACTTCCCGTTAAGACACTAGGGATTGGTATTAATAGACAGTAAACGCCTAGCTTTACAAGAAATGGGTTACAACAGAAATACTAAAAATGTTTTGCAGAAGTAGCTTTGTTACAACTGGCTTAAAACATTTCACAAGAACTAACAGCTCTTTTTACTTCTGTATACCTGCTTTACTTCTGATTTTTGTCCAATACCCCGGAAAGCAAGCCCTGTAAAACTTCCACCTGCCAAGACCTCGGGGCCGTTCTCCCCTTGTAGAGTGAGGCAGTCGTCAGGCTTGGCTTAATAAAGCCTTTGGAACCCAAACTCTGTCTCTTAGGTCATTTTTAAGAAGTAAGGACCTAACATTTTGAGGCCCCAGCGAGATAAGGGCAGCCGGCTCATCTCCTCCCTCGGTGATCACTAGCCCTTTGTCAGGGGTTGGCCAACCTGATGATATTTCCAGGGCCCTGGCAACTAGGTCGGCATCCCCAGGAGTGGAGCTCGGGCTCTGCAGCCGCCCCCTTCATTCCAAAGACTTTATTCGGGAATCCTTCGAAGGTAAGAGGTCTTTATGATCTCTTTCTGGTCTGGGTAGCGATTTCTGGGGGACTTCGAGGGGGCCGGATGCCGCACATACCCCTCGAGTCCGGGGGGACCCTGCAACGGCAGCAAGTCTCCTCCTGGTTTGGGTCAGATTTGAGCAATGATGAGTATTCTGTGGCTCCTGGTCCCTTTGGTTGTCTGCTTTGTTTTGGTGTCTCATTTGTGTCTGTTGTCCTCTTAATCATGTCATCAGTCTCTGGACTGTCAGTTTCATGTTTCTTTTCGTCGTCTAATTCTTGTCCCTGAGAGATGGGACACCTCCGGAGACGTTGGCAGTGGGACCTGATATGTTCCTCACGTTCCTTTAAAGCAACCTGTTTTGTTCCTCACAATCCTGGAAGTAAACCTGTTATGCTCCCCATGAGTAAACCTGGTACTTGGATGGGCCCTGTCTGTCTTCTATGTTTTTGTCAATCTATTTAGCAAAACTTAGTTCTGGTCTGGTTAATTGGTGCAGGGGGTGATTGCACCTTGGTTCTGGTAAAGGAGTACACAGGGGATGCACCTAATATTTAACGAATGTCTGTCACATGGTCCCTGTCTTTTGTTGTCTTTTTACTCTGTTTGGTAAACCTGGTATCTGGATAAGTCTCTTGTATGGACCATGTTTCTTATTGTCCTTTTGTCTATTTGTTCAGCGTCTCCTTAATAATCTCCCCTAGTTTCTTCCCAATCCCTGTCTTGTCATGTAAATTAGCTTTTAGTTTCAATCCCAACTAGAAGCCCACTGGGCAAAATACTAGGCCATTAGAAAGCTATAACTATAAGCTGTTAACCAAAAGGAAATTAATGTTCTATTACAGTACTGCTTGGCCAATGTATATTTAAATTATGGAGGGTCCTGGTTGCTCTATAACTTATTGGATTGCACCACTTTATAGAAAAATTGTTCTGTTAGCGAGTCCAAAAAATAAGGCAAAATTTCTTCAGGATCATGTATTCTAAAAAATATTTAATGCTAGGGACAGTTTAACTTTCAATCACATAAATATATCTCTAAGGTTATTAACATTAAATATGGTATCTTTTGTTTTGCCTAAGTTTACAGAGATGAGGAGACAGAAATAAGTTTATGTTATCTATCACAAATTTGTCAAAAATAAGGTTTTAGATAAAACTTTTAAACAGTAATTATATAATATAAATACTTAAATATAGTTTCCCAGCATCTGTTAATAACTTAAGATTTTAATTTTACTAAGTTATGTTAAATAATAAAAGTTATTAAATATCTAAATATTTCAACATAATAAAATACTAAAATATTAATTATTAGGTAGGTCTGAGTTAATCTATTTCTGGCTTCTTGTCACAGAAAAGCTAAAAGACATAACCTATACTTCTAAAGGTTGCACAATGTATTATAGATTTACTAATAAAAATATTGGTTACTTAGTTTTGGTTATCAATAAAAATTAAGGTCTTAAAGGTTGTAGATTTTGGTATATAAAAAAATACAAGAAAGGTATAGGATGTAGAGGCGCACTTTTGAAGGAACTGAGGGAGGGTGGTTTGTCCTGGGGATGATTGTTTCTAAAATAAATGGGACAGGCTGGAAGGAACTAGACAAGTTGTAGAAGAAATGTAAATAAAATTTTGGGAAAATTTTATATATAGTTAAACTGGATATGTTTAAATAAGTCTGGATATCACAAGTAAGCTAGTACAGGGTTAATTGAGTTTTCCCTTTTTGCTGGATAGGATAAAATTTGTTAAATTATTGGTCTACTACTAATGTTATAAAAAAAGCTTTTCTACCTAAAAAGTAAAAATTGTATGTCATCAGAATAGTTTTCTGTATTTTATATTGTCTCATTCAGGTCTTTGGTTGCTCAAGGGATTAAATTTAGGAGTTGAGTTTTGCTAATAGCTATATAAACTTCTGTGTTTAAAAAACCACTGGAGCTCATGTACCTTCCTTGGTGTTACAAATAGGCCAATATAAAAAAGCCTAGCCTAATACAACTAACAGCATATTCTAATAGTTCTGGCCCACTGTTACCTCCTGGTAAGGAGGCACAGATCCTAAAAACAAAGGGGCTAGAAAGTTGTTTAAATATCTTTAACAGCTAAGATAAAAATGAAAGAACAGTCAGAATGGAAGATAAGACCAGAGCCAGGACAGATTTTGGCCACAATTATAATCACCCAGGGCTAAAGCCACTTCAGGGCACCCCACAAGCCCCAGAAGAGGAAACACCGGGTAAAGGAGCCAGCTTTGGATATAAAAGGCCAGACTGCTGGAATAAGGAGTATCCTGATCTTACTAAACAGCCGTGCCCTCTGTACAAACTAAAGGGCCCTAGAGGAGGGATTGTCCCCTGCTCTGAAGGGAGCAGGGACCAAATCCTTCCCCACAAGGGGCTATAAATAACTACAGGCCTAAAGCTCCGAGCGGCTCCCAAGCTGTTCTCATCACAGGGGTAAAACTGTAGGTAACCCTGACGTGACAGGTAACCCTGTTAGTTTTTCTAATTAATATAAAAGCCATTTATTCTGTCTCAACCGCTCAGTCTGGGCCTTTTTCTTTTTCTCTAAAAACTACTCGGCTACAAAGACAGAGAGCCCCCGGATTTAGACTTATTTTATGCAGCCTGTTCCTTACCATTAGTCTATATCTTAAAAAAATATATAAAATACTATTAAAAGCCTAGGAAAAGGCCTCTAACAGACCAGTTAGTTCCTATATAGAAAAAAACCCTGTACAATTTTTTTGTACCAACAGCTGTTAGGCTCCAGAGACAGTAACTAGATCCACTTCCCTTAAATTGATCTTTTCATTGAAGTCTCCACAGGACTTCCCCAAAGAAAGATTATCATTCATGTTCCTGGGAGCCAGTTAAAAACCTTGGACTTCTGTTCAAGCCAAACTACTAAAGCTACTCGTTGTTACTTTTGTCAGTTTGGCGTGGTCGGAGGTCCTTCTCAAGGTTTGGAGATGGAGGCTACCAGGGCCTGCCAGCAGTTGGTGGCCTTGGAGATACAGGTAGTACCCCGGCAATGTAGCCAGTCCCAGCCGGGGAGGCCGGCATAGTTTTCCGGGCGGATGTCAAGAACCCTTCCTCTCATCTAAGATCAGATAGGATAAGAGTTCCGTAAACCCCCTAATAGACAGGGACAGCTCTATGCCCCTGTCCAGCAGGAAGCAGATACAGAAAAAGAGACCTCCTATCCCTCAGCTCCCCATAGAGATTTTATAGGGATCGCATCTCTCTAAGGGAAAACAAGACAGACAGTTAAAAACAGACTAGACAGCATAAGAGGCCACCCAAAAAGACCAGTGGGGCGCTCAAAATTTACAGGCTAAGATCCATAACCAATCTTTACTCAAGTCCCTATAGGCCCTCCATACCAAAAAGTATCTATAAAGCCATCTGGGACGCCTTGCCTGTTCCCCCTTGGAATCTGTTTGTCCCTCCCAACCCGAAGACTCGGACTCACTCCTTTAATGAACCAGACACCGTTAACCTCATCATCCCAATGGCTGTAAAGGTTTGCCCGACTAAGGACAGCCCAGAAACAAACCATAGAGGGTCCAGGACAATTCGCCGGACTCCTTAAAGCTAAGACTGTCGCGCTCTGTACCATCCTAGCCCTGTTCCCCTCCATACAGTCCAAATCGCCCCCAGTTTTTCCCTCTCCACTGCCTTTAGGAGTTTCACTCTGCCCCAAACCCTCCTAGACCCCTTCTCTGAGACCCCAGCTATAAGCCCCAAGCCAAATAGTTCCTGTTTTAAGCCCAGTAGTTTCCGTTCCCGTTTTTAACAGATTTCTACTCCTACCCCATTCCTGTTCTCACCTCTACCCAACAACAAAACGAGGTAGTCTCTGCGTTACCCTAGGAGAGACCTACTACTTCTATACTAACCAATCAGGAGTCATCTGGGACACTTTAGCCTTAGTTAGAGACAATCTTAAAAATAAATATATCACCCAAAATAGCCAACAAAACTGGTATCAGTCACTTTTCAACTGGTTTCCTTGGCTCACAACCCTCATCTCTGCTCTGGCAGGACCACTAATTCATCTACTCCTTGCCTTCCTTATAGGTCCCTGTATCCTTAATACTCACTACCTTCATCCGGCGCTAGATCAGTCAGGTAAAGCTCATAGTCCTCTGCCACCAGTACACTCCCATCTAGGAATGCGAACCAACGATTTGATTCCGCCTATAAGACCAGTGGGGAATGTAAAGAACCCAGCCCGGTCCCTAGGCCAGACAGACTCACTTTTAAAAACTCAGACTTCAGCTACTTCAGCTAGACTCTAAGCAGAACTTCCCGTTAAGACACCAGGGGTTGGTAATAATAGACAGTAAATGCCTAGCTTTACAAGAAATGGGTTACAACAGAAATACTAAAAATGTTTTGCAGAAGTAGCTTTGTTACAACTGGCTTAAAACATTTCACAAGAACTAACAGCTCTTTTTACTTCTGTATACCTGCTTTACTTCTGATTTTTGTCCAATACCCCGAAAGCAAGCCCTATAAAACTTCCACCTGCCAAGACCTCGGGGCCGTTCTCCTCTTGCAGAGTGAGGCAGTCATTAGGCTTGGCTTAATAAAGCCTTTGGAACCCAAACTCTGTCTCTTAGTTCATTTTTAAGAAGTAAGGAACTAACAGTAGCATGAACCAGTAATTTATCAGTCACCCTGTATTGATTAACTTCTTATAAATTGTGCTTGGGTACTAACCAATCAGAAAATTCATTTAAAAAACTAGGGCTGGTTCCTGCCCCCCAGGAACTAACATTATAATATATTTAATTACAATGGCTTGTGCTCAGTCCCATAGCAGGACTCACCTGAGACTATAATATCTGCAAAGACAGAATTATAGTCACAGGATAAAAATGCAGAAATACGTAAGGTAATTAAAGGGAGGAAACGTTTTCAGAAAAAGGCGGTATCAAAAGAAAGGACAAGCATCAAATGTCGTGTCATATTAGTTGATGAGAATCAGGAAAATGATTGTGGAGAATAGATGACAGGATGACATCTGAATATCAACTAGATGTGTGACCAATTATTAATAAGCCTCATAAGCTATAACATACATAGACCAACTTCCTAAAGCCTAAAAAAGCACAAAAGTTTGGATGTTCATGTCATATTTGTCAAAATATTTATGCTCTGTATGTGGTATACAGAATGTCCAACAAACAACTTTTAATTGTCCTGGGCTTTTGATTCAATAATTAAGTTTGTTTGTAATTAGTGCAAAGTGTTTATAAGAATTGAGCAAAGTAATCTACAATAGAAAAACTCATAAATTGGAAGGGAAGGAAATATACAATAAATGTTCTGGGCAAAATTGGTTAAATATTTGGGGAAAAACAAATTGATTTCAAATACACTAAAGATTTAGTTGTTGAAAGTAAAAATATAAAAACCAGAGATAATTAAACTCCTAAATTTTAAAAACTTCTATAAGTCAAAACAATCTCTTAAAAAAAAACAAACAGGAAAAAACTGCTGAAAAATATTTGTAACACGTAGAGAAAAAAGTCATTGGTATCTCGAAACATAAAATGTTTGCTAGAAAAAAGAATAGTGAACCACTATAGTTAAACTGCCATAAAATATAAATATGATTATGAATAAACATGAGCATGAACATGAAAAAGCAAATATATAAATATAAATACTTTATAAATATGAATATTGAATAATATGTAAATTGTTATTAAATTGTTTAATTTCAGAGTTGTAACAAAAAGGAAATTACTACACATATATGTGTGTGCGTGCACACATACATACACATATACACACTTTTTTCCTGGCCCCATTAGCAAAAACTGAAAAAAAGTGGACAAAACAAGGAGAATGCTGTGAGTAGGGCAGTCTTGTTACATTGTTAGTGACAGTGTAATCTAGTATAATTTTCTTTGTCAATTTAGCAATTTTTATTTTTTTATCTAATTAACTCCATTTTTATACTGCAACCTAAAGGAACAAACAGAAAGTTTGATAAAACAATTTTTAAAAATGATTATCATATTAAATGTTATGTCAGTAAAATAGGAACAATCTAAATACTTAAACATGGAAATGTGGTTAAGAAAACTATAATTTTATGTAATGGACAATTAATAACCAAGAAAATACACTAAAATGAACAAAAAATAATAAATATCCTTAGATATGCATTGAAACTGTCTGGAAGAAATCTACAAAATTTCAATAGTGTATAGGTGATTATTTTCCTTAAATTCCTGAATTATCTTTAAAATAGGCTCTTACTATTCATACATTTACTTTTCTATTTGGAAAAAAGTATATGAAGTAAAAAGTTTCATGACAATGAAAAAATAAAAGAAGCAAGACAATAAATTGGGGGCATTGAGTAATGGGAACTAAAGTTAATGATTTAAAGTAGAATGATGAATCTGGCCTCTTGTGTGGATGCTTGCTTTTCTTTAAATTTTCAAATAGTGGTCATAGGTCATTGTTTTAAAACTTAGGTACAAAATATGTCCAAAACAACATAGGTAAATTCAATTCACATGTTTTACCTCACATCTTATTTACATCAGAGTATCTGGCTAAGTGATGTATCTATTAGATACCTATGTGAAGAATCAATTTTCTAGTTCTTACATGTGTTTTTGACATAGAGTAGGGATTGAATTTCTGCTCTGCAGCAACTATTGACTTTGCAATCCGAAGAACATTGCTTAAACTCTTTGAATCTTGGTTTCCTCAGGTGTAATATGGGCATAATACTTTTTCAGAGAGCATTTTTTAAGATTAAAATAGTTTATTTATCTATTATAGTCCCTGACAATTATTTGTTTTTATTAGTATGAGACAAATGTTTTCAATGCAAAGAAGCATTGAATTATATATATAATTATTAATATATAATTACTGGTATTATATGTACTAGTTTATTAGTATATACTAATTCTGGCATTGAGTAGAATACCCATACTTACTAATATTATAGTGCAGGTATTCTACTCAATGCCAGAATTATTAATATTTTATATATGTTGATATTTATATGCATATACATTATATATAATATGTAGTTATATTTACACATATTTGTTTATTATTGTTAATATTTTAGTATATATGTATACTTATATACATATACATAGCATATATATGTAAGTATAAATGTATGTAATAAAACTTCATTTATCTAGGGTGTTTAATTTCTATTATTATAGTTCAGCAAATTTTTTTTCTTACTCTACCGAGCTTCTGGATAACTTCCTCAAAATTCTATATTTTCCTATTTGGGATTCCATAAGCAAGTCACCATAGTAATGGGAGACAATCAGAAATTGATCTTGTTTTCTTTTGATTTCTGGCTGATTTTTAGCACCAGGAAGAAACACAAATGGTCCGAATATTCATGCTTTCTGGACAACATATTTCATTTATTTGTATGTTATTATTTACTGCTTTGAACAGTTGACATTTCTGGAATTTACAATTGGCTCCATTACTGTGACATATGGATAAAATTTTCATTTCAGAGATATTTACAAAAGAACTCAAAACCACAATCTCTTCAGTTCTTCTAAGGATTCTGAACAATGACCTCTTGTGTGTGTGTGTGTGTGTGTGTGTGTGTGTGTGTGTGTGTGTGCGCGCATCTACGTATTTCCCTCGAGAACATACCAGGAGTGGAAGTGCTAGATCATAGCACATGAATATCTTCAAATTTACATGATAATGTTAAATGTTTTCCAAATGGTTTTACCAATTTATACTGCTGCCAGCAGCATATTTATTTGGGACTTCATTAATTTACTTAATGAGGTTTCATAATTTTTCCATTAAAAGTATTGTACCTCTATTAGTAGGTTTATTCTAGATACTTGAAATTTTCCAGTAATATCTTTTTAAATTTTAGTTTTCCGAATATTTGTTGCAGGTATACAAAAATTCAATTGACTTGTTAGATTATTTTGTTTACTAATTTTGTATCCACTAATCTCGCTACACTTGGACTCATTCTAATTGTTTGTGAGATCTTAGGATTTCTATGTTTATAATCATGTTATATGCAAATAGGAACATGTTATTGTCTTTATATCATTAATTTCTCATTTTTCAACCCTGATTAGGACCTCCAGTACAAAACCATGGAGCAAGAGTCACAGTGGGCATTTCTGTCTTATCACCTTTCCCTTTTACACCTCAACCCTTCCAACTGAGATTACTTTTCTTCTGCATTCCTACTCTTTTGCATTTCCTTTAGGGAGTGTTTGTTGCTGATAACTTTAAATGATCTTATTTTAACTTTTTACTTGACAGGTATTTTTGCTGAGCATAGAATTCTAGCTTGCCAGTCATGGTTATTTATTTTTTTTTTTGGTACATTGAAGAACGTTTTCACTGTCTTCTGACTTTCACTTTTGTGTTAGAGAGGTCATATGTCATTCTAACAAAATGTAGCAGGCTACATTGAAAACAAGAAAGAAAAAAAGAGGTAGAAAGCCAGGTTCCTGATGATAACTTTTTCAGGTACTTTTTCTCATTCTTTGTTACTCTAAGATTTACAGCACCACCGAGTTTAGAATTATAACTTGAGGATTTCAGTTTCCAATTGTTACATAATAGTGGACTCACGTGCACTGAGAGCAACACTGGATTAATGAAACAGGATTTGTTTGGACCATAAGGAAGGAAGGAAGGAAGGAAGGAGGGAAGAGAGGGAGGGAAGGAGGGAGGGAGGAAGGAAGAAAAAGCAACTGACTTAAAACATAAAGTCACTTACTGGTTGCATAATAAGTACAAAGGTTTGGAATTTGGTTATACAACATTTATTTTTCATGAATACATCTATTACACACAAGAAGACATATCTACTCTTGAATTAGGATATGTATAAGTCTATTAATATTTTGGAAATTCGTGTCACTAACCACCCCCTATCCAAAGTTGTTGGCCTACAGGAAATGTGTGACTAAAAAGAATCTTTAAAGTAATTTTTTCTGTATTCTATACTGAATGCCACTTTGTCAAAGGGTCAGAGAGCATCAACTGTTTTACCGATGTGAAACAGCAACTTCAATTTTCATGCTGTATCATGTACACTTTTTGGGAGAAGTGGAAAAGTACCAAAGGCATTCTTTCTTTTCCAGTTTTTGCTCATCCAAAAGATTAGGAGTCATAGGAAACACTGACAATTATTACATAGCCTGAAGCAAGATATGTCCTAAGAAGCAGACAAGATTTACTGTAGCTAATCCTTGATTTATATAATCAAGAGCTACCGAAGTGCACTTATCTCTTATTTTTATTTTTAACTCTAGCTGAAGCTATTTTAATAAGTTTTTTTCCCTTGTCTATCTCAATATAGTTAGTCACTTAGTGTGGTAGATTTTAGTCACCATTCACCTAAATTTATCATTATCCAGTAATCTCAATATTGTCTTATTTTTTAACAGTTTTGACATTAGTCATCTTCATAATCCCTTTGTTTGTTCAGCCACAGAATTCTGCAATATTTATAATCAAGGAGTGGCTTTGTGGCCTCTGTTAGAAGCAAAAACTAAATTCCTAACCTGTGAGAAATCAAGTTTCTCTGCTTTTAAGCAAGTTTTGTGGAGTAAGGAGGGTAATTGTTTATATCTGCCCAGGATCCTAGAGTCATTCTTAGTTAATTTTCTACGTGTCATTTTTGAAGGGAGCAACTGTTTCTGTTTGTTTTTCCATAACTAGAATAAATTGTGTACTTTGGGGTTTAATATGGAAATGATTTTTTTTCAGACAATAGATGACTATTAGCTTACATAATCAAGACTAAATTAATTCACAGTTATTAATTTAATATAAACCCAGTGTCTTCTAACTTCTAATCCACAGAGTGAGTCCAGGCGTCTTCGGAGCTGCATGTGAGAAAGCAGCACTCTCAGAATGAATGGAAATAAACAGGAACCTGCTGTGGATGCTGGACAAAATACAGTGGAGATGGTGAGTATTGTAAATATTTTTAATCCTTTCATGACTAAAATCTTTACTTTCAACATTTACCGTTTAATTCTTCAAGAACGTTAAATTGAGTTTTTTTTTCCCCTGATGTTTGCTCTTACAGGATGAATGCAATCTGGTATGTTATTATCAGTAATCGTAAGTGTTGAAGGAGTTATTTAGTATGCCAAGTAGTGCTTTCACATTATTGGGAATTTTGCATTAGACTTTTGGCCTAAATTTTGATATTTATATCAGAAACCTATAATAAGGTATCAGTAGACAAAGCTTGAGTAGATCATTTGAAATGTGTTTATAGCAAATATTAACAATATTACTTATACTTCTACATATTTTGATCCAATGAAAATATTTATTTTCATTGGCTTACTTATATTTAAAATCATAACATGAAAAAATCTTATGGTTGAGAAATTATGCTTAAAATGTATTACTCTAGTAATGTGAAAATTCTATTTCTTTTAACATATAAAGGATCTCATTTATCATTCAAAACAAATCCCTTCATTTTCAAATAAAGAAATTGAAACATTAGGCGTCTACTTAGGCAGTGACCAAGCCAGGAATTGAACTCAAGTTTCTCACATAGAATCTTTTCATTATAAGAAACTACTTTTCAAAAAACCTTGACTACTATTTTCCTAACAAAGAAAAATGTATTTTATAATTAACTTGAGGTTTTAGAACCAAGACACAAGTCAAACAAAATAAATACAAAGACAGGATTTGACATAAGAATTGCTTTACAGCTTGATGGTTATATTTGTGACCAGTTTGGGGATTCAATAACCTTAATTTATAGGATGCTGCATATGTCAAGGAAGCTGAAAAATGTCACTGCTTTAATATCTTGTATACATATTTTATTTCCTCCATTTCATAATATATTAAATATGAGTTATGGTATCCCCATATGCCAAAAACACTTATGCAATTTGTTCATTAAATCAAATATTGGGTTTTCGGAAAAGTCATGACACATTTTTGCAACGAAAAACATAGAAAAAATATGTCATGACTTTTCTGACAACCCAATAATTAATTATGCTAGAAAAAACAACAAAAAGAAACCCAAACAGTAAAACTAACTCCTGAGATTATGAAAAGGAATGGTTAAAATTTTCCATCTGTTAGTAATCTGACAGACAACCTCTTAGGTCCCCCCAAACAGGGGATAAAAGATGCCTTTTTGTTTTACAATTATTATATAGAGTTGTTTTTTACATTTGGAAAATGTAGAAAATTACAAAGAAAAAATAGCCACCCATGATCCCTCCTAGAGAAAATCGCCGCTAATATTTTGCTTCCTGCCTTCTCCCAGTCCTATTCAATGTCATTTTATTGTTTGGGTTGATTTATTTTGCTACATGAAATTTTTGTCAATGTGCCCATTTATTTTCTCCAGAAAGTTTCATAAAGCTCTTTATTAAAATTCAGAGAATTGAGAGCTTATACTACTAAAACTTTTTATAAGAGGACACTTATCTAAATTGTCTTTTTGTTCCTTAGTAAAGTTTTATGGTCTTCTTTATATAAGTTCTACAGCATTTTATATGGGTAACCATTTTATATGCTTTGCCACTACTGTGAATAGCAGTTGCTAATATATACACATATGCATAAAACAAGTGTTGTTACATATATTTTTCATATTTTTTTGTAATCAGCTAATGAGTTATTATTTTGATAGATTACATGAGATTCCGTTTATACATAATCATATCACATGCAAAAAATGTAAGTTTTATCTTCACATTTCTATTATACATACATATTAATGAGAAATTCTAAAAAAATTACTAATATTGGTAGTAGAAGACATTCCTCATTTTTGACTTTAAAGGAAGGTGTCTGATGTTTCATTGTTAAATATGATGTTTATCATTATTTTGAGGCAAACATTCCTTGTCACATTTGGGGATTATTCTTTAATTATTATTTATTTGAGATTTGTATTAATTGTCTGCTTTTGTCAGGACTGAATGCTGAAATTTGTTAAATGATCCTTGAGCATTTACTGAGATGATCATTTCATTTTTTTCTCTGATCATTTGATGTGAAAAGTATATTTGTATAATTCATATACCTAACCCATAATTAGAGTTTCAGATGCTCCTAAAATTGGTTAGCTCTTCATTTAATACATGTTAGATTTATGTGATTTTTATATATTTTATATATTTATGTCCCTGGATAAAATAAACTTTCCTCATCCTCAAAATTCAAGGTTGTTTGTTTGTTTTTAAATTCTTTTTCTGCAGTTACCCAGAAATCCGTATTGTTCAAATGAAAGAGCACACTGTGTTTGTAGATTGCCTAATATGGCCTTCCAGCCGCAGTGGGTAAGGTCTGGGGTCTGGGGGATGTGGAAGTCTTCAGTAGTCCTTTGGAACAATGGAGAAATGAGACAGGCAGGCCCCGCTCTGCAAGGTTCTACTCTCCTTTAACCCCTCACTTTGGGCACTGTACACTTCTGAGCTGCCATTCCACAGCCTCTAGGTTGCGCAACACCTAAACCTGCCGCCCGCAACAGTTTATCAGTGCTGTATTCTATTCCTTTAAGATGCCCTCCATAGCAGAGATTTTCTATTTTGATGTCTTTCCAAAGTCAATGAAAGTCCTTTTATTTATGTTTAATAGATCAAAATGTATTTAATAAATAATTTTCTAACGATAATATCTCAATACATAATGTTAAAATAGGAAATAATGATGAACAACAGAATACCTGCAAATTTTCCATCCCCCCAAAATAATGATCTAAATGTTTTGATATAGCTATTCATTATTTTTCTACCCATGGGGACTAATTAGATAATTTAATTTATACTGCAATGTTAGTAGCTGATAATAACTATACATAATATATCCCCAAGGCAATCCATTTGCATTTGGAGATGACACCTTATTGCTTTTGTACAAAGGGGTAACTAAGAGAGGACATTTTGTTTTCATGGACTTGTAGACAAGGTGTGTGTGTGTGTGTGTGTGTGTGTGTGTGTGTGTGTGTGTGTGTGTGTGTG